AATTTATGTGGGGATAGAGATTATCAGGCGCGTGTCACCGTTGTTTACATCTTATTGTGTTGTAGCATCCAAACATCCTCGAAGTTTAGCTTGCGAACGTCAACCGTTTCCGCAGCCATGGGTCTATCGCCTATTTCATCTGGCCCTCGGACACAAGGCAGTCTCTGTCTTAAGAGAACGGTATTAAGACATCGATGATCCTTCCCATAATCAAACTAAGTTTGAAGGAGCATCACTGTCACAGCCGGGCCAACGTGAACTACTTGCGTAGCCGTGCTTTCTCCGACTCGACGAACCATTTTTAAAGTACGCAGAAAAGATCAAGTTCTTCGAACGATTTCTTGGTCAACACGACGCTACTCAGTGAGTGATTCCATCATCGATTGCCGCTTACAAAAAGCGTCAAGGTATACGATAAAGAGAATGTGTTGTCGAGGATACATGGGTATAGGCCATGGGGCAGCTTGCAGGTGCTTTTGATCTGCAACTCCCATCAAGTAACGATGAAAATCCGTTCAAGGTTCCAACTTGCAATTCTGGACTGCGCCTCTCTGAGTCACTCAACATCCGTTGTCATCTGACGAAAACGTGCAGTTTGACGCGGTGGATAAGGTTGATAAGTAAGGAGTAAGATACAAATTTGCGAGGCCCGACGTTCGCTAGTTCCGTTTCGGCGAGTACTAGCTATTGGATCCTCCAGAATTGATTGATCGATCCAAGATCCAGGAAGCTGATGAGCCGCCTCAACTCTCAATGATGCGCGAGGTCTACTCACGGGCTTAACATGGCACTACAGTCGGCGCCGTACTTTTGCAGAAAGGTTTGGTACATTCACGATTGGATTATATCAACAATATACAAAGGTATCATTGTTATGGGTGTGACCGCCTGGACTCAATATCACGTCCAATAATGATAACTTTGTTCGGGTCTGATTCGTCTACTCTTTTATTAAGATCGGCTGCTTGGGTTTTCGAAGGACTTTGTTGACAATCCATTTGAAGCGCCCAGACTGTGATTATTTTGGTCCTCAAGTCGTTGAAGGCAATACCGAGGCTAACACGAACAATGACGATGGATCTATGATACCCTAAAGAAAGCATTCAGCATGCCATGATTCTGTACTTCCACTGGAGAGGCGAGGAACTACCGTTGCTCATAAGGATAGGAATTGTTATGAGGAATGCAGAATAAATGAGTCCAGAGCCAAGTCTGTGGGTGGGAACGCTCCATTAGCGTTTCCTCTTATCGAACCTGAATAGGGCGTTGTGAGGTTGGGATGATTTTGTAGTGTAGTGGGCTACAAATCACTCTCACTTTGTATCAATTAGTGTGTAGTAATGTATCTAATAACTCCCGATGCACGGAAAGCTATGTTCCATAGTTGAGCATTGTGGTATACTAGTATCGATACCCTTCAAGGTCTTCCCAAAACCTCAGTTACTAGTCCGTCACCTTTTTTCCTCCTTCTTTGTCCGACTTCAGCCCTGACAATGTCCAATAATCAAGTAGCATATGCAATCAATGCAAATAAAACTACGCCGGCGGCAGTAGTGCCTATCTTTGCTAGGAGATCAGCAATCCCATCTGTGTCAAAGGTCCAAGCAAAGATAGTGATAGAGATGTACAGTGACAGCATCGACCCCATCGCAAACAAATTTGGGATGGATAATAGGAGTACCATATGCAAGGTGTGATCCGCTAGAACCTATTGCTCACGTCTCGAATGAGGACTCATCCAAGATTAAGAGTGATAGTCACGCACCTTGAACTCTTCGGCTGTTACGTCTGTGAACACAAACGAAAGTCCTGTCCCAAATGCGATAGAAATTATTGCTGCGCACATCGAAGCCAGTGTTGCGACATATGAAGCCCCCGACACTCTGTCCGAAAACAGCATTGTTGTTGTAGCGGAGAGGAGTAATCCGGTAAAAATACCCAGTGTTTGCCAACGTCTGATCAATCCTTGTATGAAAGCATCCCATGTACTCGTATCATCCGAATTCAAGTACGCTCTTAGTCGTGTTGGGTTTGTTCCGATAAGAACAAGGAGACATAGCGTAATGAAGAAGGAATGAGGCTGTCTGTTCGAGCTAGGGTCGAGCTGCCGTTTGCGGGGTGTAGGCACGTGGATAATTTGGTGGTCAGATTCGTGTTTGGGTAGATATTCGGACTGATTTGTTAGAGTATCGTCTGAGCTGATGCAAGCTGGTCCCGCAGCTCTCGTGCTTTTCATAGTGTTGTCCATGAGATATGGCAAGGGAAGAGGGAAGGAAGGAAGGAAAAGCAACCATACCCAGTTCATCAAAAACTTTGAATGGCGGTGTTCAGATTACATTCGCAGTATCCACATTGGATGATCCCGATGATTTGTAGGGCTCATTGCTGTATAGTCGGTAACAATGGATCAAGAACCTTGACGACCGCTGATAGTGTGGCGAACCAGCTTGTTAGAAGCTCATCACCATTAGTCAAAGAGGTAGCGTACATACCCAATGGATAGGCGTCGTTGTGTCTGCTTTACAACGGAGGAGCACACTGTCGTGGCTCTATTCCAGTCAAAAAAACTGCTACTACACGGAACCATTGACCTGCAGCATTTCTGCATGTGATCTCACGGTAGGTCTCAATGGTATCTTACCTATTGGGTGCTATCTAGAGGGTCCTTCCAGCACGGTTCACCGCTAATGATCGCCTTAACCCAATCTGGCAATATATGCATTGCAGCACATCTCTCGCAGCCAACTCGACACCAACAGCTATACATGTTTCCGGTCTGACCTTTTCCAGAGGACTGCATTACACTCTTTGTTTATTCATGTCTATCCAGCACTCCTGTTCTCCGAATGTCCATTACCAGCTCATCGGAGACCCATCGCTGTAATATTTGCCTGAAAGCAGATAAGTAGCTTAGCATTTTTACTCGATATAACATATACAAAGAACCTACACGTCTTATCATCATCCTCAGGGCCTAACAGCACCCAAGGCTCCAACAACTGTGCTCCTGCTCGAGGCGTCTTTCCACCTTCTGGATATCCGTTAATTTTCGTGGAAACCACTCCGGGACAGACGCAGTTGACCCTAATCTTTTCATCTCTCAATTCATGCGCCAACCTAATAGTGTATGAGTTGACTGCGGCCTTTGATGCACTATATGGGTTTGCATCGAGGAATGCCCTTAGTGCATCCGAGGACGCTTGCAGGCTGTTGGATCCAAGCCCAGCTGTAACATCAACGACGGCACCGTAGCCAGGTTTAGCTTTGCAAATGAGGGGAATGAATGTATTTGTGCATTCGACGAGACCGAAGAAGTTTGTGTTGAAGACTTTAACATATTCCTTGGGATCACTGTTGGCTGTAGTTTGTAATGAATGAGTATCATGATCGAGGAGAACATGTGAACAAACTAGCCTGCGTTATTGACAAGAATGTCGAGACGGCCTTCAGCCTCCTCAATCAGATCCCTTGCAGCTTTGATGGTTGCACTGTCTGCAAGATCAAGGTGGACAAAAGTCGCTTTTAAACTGAATTCATTTTGCAAACGTTCCCTGTAGGATCATCCAAGTCAAAGTTGCACGGAAACTCGGGCAAAAATAGACATACTCAGCTTCCTTTCCTGCCATTAGTGTTCTGGAACCGAGATACACCTTGTGGCCCTTCTCTGCGAGCAGTCGGACTAATTTGAATCCAATTCCACCGTTAGCGCCAGTGATGAGGACGACCTTCTTGTAGAAGTCAGTTGCGGACATAGTTTGTGTGATAAAAGATCCTTGTAGGGTTAAGATAGCGAATCACTGTCATACCTGCCATCTTATAAGATGTCTCGGGCTTAGCCCCGTATAGCCTGAATCTGCTTGTATCCTTCGTCAGCTCGTTTAATTGGGTATATATCAATTTACCCTCAGTACACCGTTACCTGTCGCCATTAGATGTCCAGTGGTCTCATCGGCTTAACCGATAACTTCGGACGTCGAGAGAAGAGGCTGCACAATGCACACTGAACAATGCCGCAGGGGATTCAGGAAGAGATTCCTCATAAAGTGTGAAAGGAGACAATATTCAATAAGTTTGGCTACCAGAACTGACAGACTGCCAACATTAGCATGATACAGAGTATTACCATTCCCGGGAGATAACGTGGACCAACTCGCAAAATGGACAGCGGAATGGTAGGAATTGGGATGTAGATTATCAGAGGTACGATGTTCCGGTAAGGATGCTGGGGTGTAAACACCGATACCAACCCAATCTCTGGAGAAGTCTCCTGCATTTAGGGTCATAACAGAACCTCCTCAAGAGAGCAGGAACTAGGTGTTTCTACTAGTTAATTGACCAACAAACTAAAATGAAAGAGAGATGTGCTGCGATTAAGGGTCTCACCAATTTCAAATGTGACTATTCCACCCGATATAGAATTGGAATGCTAATAGGGTGTGCGCTGGTGTGCGGCGAGCGTTTTGGCTCGGAAGAAGGATATTCCTGCGTGATGACCGGAGTCCAATGCCCATGGGTATGTCGTGTAAACTCGGATCACAATTGAAGCTGAACCTATGCCATGCATATCCTTGCATATCCCTACGGGCCGAGTGTATATTCTAGATGTTGAACGAGCGCCGGACCGAGAAGCCGGAGATCCCGGAAGTGTAAATGCCCATGAGGAACGAGAAGGTTAACAATGAACAACATGCAACGAAAAAATCCGATCCTTGTTTGGTGATCAATGGACAAAAACTGAAAACATTGTCACTTATAAAGAGTGAATTGAAGAAACTTGCCAAAAACTAGACTTGGGCCTGAATGGGTACTCACTCACAAGTTCTTCAGGAAAGTACCTATTCTCCTGACGCACATGCGCGGCGAATCACTAGTCACTATCCATCTTGATCACCGATAACGTCAGGTTGAATGGATGGAGAGCCATCGCACGGGCAAAGAAGGCTGGGGGAAGCAATGGTTATTCAATCATGATAAAAGGAAACCAATGCAGCTATTATAGTGGGTGCTATCAGGATTCGAACCTGGGTTTCGGGAAGGTAACTTGGGGAACTCGTCCATCAGAATCCCGAGCGATGACCACTACACTATAGCACCCAAGCACCGAAAAGCACGTAATGTGGACCACTCCCAGGCTGTATAAATAGAGATGTCGTGAACGCGTGAACCCCGAGACATGCGAAAGGTATACCCCCTCTTTCGGTGCAGGTCTAAGGATATTCACATATCGATGGTAAAGGAGGAACAACGCGTGATGTGAAGACACGAGGAAGCAATCCCGTCATCTCTTTGTACACCCCTTTCCTTCCTTCCAAGCCCCATCAAACACCAAATGAGAGGGTACACAAAGCACTCCTGGGGTAGTGGGGGGAAGGGGGTGCAAGAAGTGGTTTGTATCTGCACGTGATCGGAACGTAAGTCATCATACAAGGGAGGGAAATACACGTGAGCACTCACCCACGTTTGGGTTTGGGCATGACACGGGCGGATTCAACGTGCACACGAGATAAAGTTTGGAGGATGGCAGGTCGTTGAGGCGAAGGGGCGGATGTCAAGGAATAAGATTGACGATTTGAGTTGTCATTTGCCAGCTTGCCGAATCTGATGTTTGGGCTGGATACTGATTATTGGTTTGCGGTGAGGACAGGATGACTTGAATGGAGATTGTGGAGGCTATGAACAATGCATAAGAGACTGAGAGGAACACATCCCAATAGCCACATACCTCAAAAGTCTGGATATGACCCAATACCTTCGACTCCTTGTTTTCTTCTTAGGGCTGTGGGTATTCGTGTGGGTGAGCATGAGGAACGAGCCAATTGTGAGCTGGGGATTCCGTGGGGCTGCTTGAGCGAATGGAGGAAGCGAGGTCAACGATGATGGTAGACGAGGATTCCACAGTTGATCTTCTTATCGCTTGCCACCATAGAACACCATACTTTAGGAGACAAGGACAAAGGGAACAGGCAACCACTCACGATGAGATTCAATTCTCTGGGGTTACAGAAAGCTTCTTCTGGGTGCCTAATATAACCTTGACAACGTGAGGAGATGAGGAAGTGTGGTGAATGGGAGACATAGGCAAATCAGGAAGAGGACGTCCATATCTGGGCTCCTTGTTGTGCACTGCCCTAGGACATCGTAGCGTATTAGCAATGGGCCGAAGAAAACATGTCACCACTCACCGTGCGATTCAATCCATTACAACGACCCACGAGCTGGCGCTGGAGCTGCGAGAGTGAGCAGCCTTTCAAACTGCGAGCTGAAGTCGATCATGGAGTCGGCCTGAAATGGATGGTTGGTCCCATAGTTACTCGAGGATGGAATTGTCGTCGGGAGCTTGTTGACGAGATACGCGTTTTCAGTTCAAAAGCTGGACGATAATTGAGAAGGTGAACAGAAAGAAGATGAAAAAAACTTACCTTAAGGCTTGGATAAAGTCTGTTGAGCAATGTTTTGGTTCAAAAACTAGTGCTTGCGTCATCAACGTGCCTGATAATCAACCACGTGTCGGGTATGGTATAGCATCAACCCTCGCGGTGGTTTCAATAGTCTGATAACTCAGCTAGCGTTCCTGTTAACCAGCTCCACATTCAATCGATCCTACATTGTAGACACCTCTTGGACCAGTTTCGTTTGCTGGAAGAAGAGGCCGATCTTATCAGAGTCGACGACCTCCTCAAGATGAAAATTGTTGGTTGTTTCATCCTCATGCTTCGCGTCTCGGCGCTATCGAGTGAGGTTCACCATCGATTCTCGTTCAGAGAGTCGGCGCTCATAGTTTTTGATGGCTTCATCGACATCCTTATCACGGATACTTGTGCATTACTACAGTCGGCGCCGTACTTTTGTAGAAAGGTTTGGTTATTAATTACTCTTCACGATTGTATTATATTTACCAGCCTGAGATACAACGTTCTCATTGTTATGACTGTGACTGCCCAGACTCAACATCACGTCCAATAATAACTTCGTTCGGTTCTGATTCACATTCTAGCAAGTATACAGTGAGTGAGTAACATTCTGTCGGTTATGTGACTAACGAGCCTTCAAACCTTTGTGACACTGTACAGTTCCCAGACAAGCTGCGATATCCTCAGCACGTAGTATTGCAACCTATGAGTTAGTCCACTACTCTGTATTTTGCGCGTGGCCATTCATCATTGCGAGCATCGTCCTGTTGATTAAAAGGCATGCTAGTTAGATCTGTCATTCGAATCTTGGTGAAGGTTGTAGTATGTGAGATATCAAGTGCTTGAGCATTGTGAACACGTTTGATTTGGGTAACCCCGACCACCTTCAAGCCGCTCATCATCATGCCTTGCCCCTGGCATTTATCGTGTACGGCCCCTGTCACTCTTCGTAAACTCATGGATGGTACGAGCTACACCTTTTAGTTGGAACTGACTTATAACACGTCCGCATCCCAATGTGTACGCGTCAAAAATGTCTGACTATGGTTCATACCGCACTATAACGTCACAGTCGACGCCTTACTTTCATAGAAGGCACTCCTATCCCAGCCACTTGGCTCGGTGATCAAACACTCTTCATGATTGGATTCTATCGACAAGATACAAAGGAGAGTTACAGTATCATTGCGACGCTCGTGACTGTTCAAACTCGACACCACGTCCAATAATGATGACTTCATTCAAGTCTGATTTGTGTTGTGGTGCTTGTAGATTAAGGCCAGCTGCTTGGCTTTGCGGCAGATTGGTTGGGCGATTGACTTCCAGTGCCCCGACTGTGGTCATTTCGGTCCTTAAGTCGTAGAAGGCAATACCGAGACTAACACGAACAATGACAATAGATGCTGTGATACCCTAAAGAGATCATTCAGCATCTCTAAAATAATAGTTTTGCATGACTCACGGCACAGGAAGGCCATGCTCGAACCAGAATTAACATGATTTCCAGATACCACTCGGAACGTGAGGAAGGAAAACCGCTCGTGAAGACAGCAAGTGTAATCAAGAATGCAGAATAAATGAGTCCGGATTCAAGTCTATAGTTTACATGAGTAACTGAAGAGTTGAAGGCAACTGTGATGCTCACGTTGCGCTAAGGATGATTCTCTGCATATTCCATGATTTTTTGCCTACGTATTGAGACACCTCACGATGTATTGAAAAAATTTTGAATGCTGATGGCTTTTGTTAAGGTGATTGACCACAAAAGGGGAAGAGATAATGCTGCACCAATAAGCAAGGACAGGAGTAAGTTATTCATTGCAAGGACTACTATCCCCACAGTAGGGATAACGCCTGTGGTGATGAAAAATGCAGTAACTGTCGAAGATATGAGATAGATAATTAATGGTAGAATGAATGGTGTACCATGAAAACCAGTTAATAGGATGGGGAGAATGATAACTTTCCATTTCCTTCCCCAAACTATGTAACATCGTGAAATCTGGTGAATATTAGCTAAGATCTCGAACGGAGTGCGTCCTGTATCTACCAGGATAGTGTCCGCTATCCAGCTGAAGATAGAATATGATGTTTGATAATGAGGACAGGGGACACTTTAGATAAAAGGTAGAGGTACTTGCCTGGAGCCGGCTCCCAGGAAAGAAGATATCGGAACTGCAAGTCCAGGAAAAGGGCATTCATCAACCGACTCTTCAATCTTGTTACACATTTCATAGATATCTGATGATGTGTTCGAGCAGAGATTTATTGTTACGAGGATGAAGAGGAAAACCTTGGCGAATAGGTTGTATTTCTGTGACGCTTTATTCCGCTTCCACAGAATATGCATACAAATACCGAACGTCGTAATATAAATACCTTGAAAGAGTAAGTCATATTCAATGGCACAGGGTGGATGTTTACTCACCATAAAGTATGGACCTTGTCTGCAAAAAGGATGAGATGCGCCAATTTTCATTCCATGTTTATACGTACCACAGTGGCGACTGTACTGTATACTGCTGATGTCCATGGTTTCGTGTTGTGGTGGGGGGAGGTTATATACAAAGAAAAGAGAATCAGCTACTGTTATATACACTAGCTTGGCGTGACAGGGCACCACGCTGTGTTTCCACGGCAATTAGCTTACAACTCGGACAGATGCAATCAATGAAACGGATCAACGAATCCGTCAGTACAAGCAGTAGCAACAACGGTGTCTTGCGACACGTTATAGGAGTAAGTCTTGGTATACAGTCACGAATGGGCACTACCAAGGTATGGTACAGTATCTGGCTCAAAGAATTTCATTCCCTCGCTATGGTCACTGAATTGAAAACCTTGCTGGGACTCGCTGAGCGCTCAGGTCGGAATCTTCCATCAGTGATCAGTGCCACCTAGTATGACTGTCTTGGTCATCTTTGATGCCCAAGTCTTGGTTATGTGCTGTGGGTGTAGATATCTGCAAGCTCGCAGTCACTACGAGCACCAGACGCCAAGTTGACACGTTCCGCCTGAACAACGGGAGATAACGTCGACCAGGAGATGGGAGTGGACAGCGGAAGGATTAAATGACCGATATGCCACAGCACCTATTCTACTAGCGCTGATCTAGGACATGGGCGTTGTGATGAAGGGCGTGTAGATGAAGAAGCTGATCTTGAACGAGCGGACTGAAAAGCCGGGGATTTCAGCGATCTAAGCGCCCATAAATGGATGATAAGATGAACGATGAACAACGCGTGACTAAAAGGCCGATCCTGTTCTGGTGATTGATGGACCAAAACTAAAACGATGTCACTTGTAAAGCGTGGAACCAAGAAGACGTGGTGTACATACATGAGTGAATTGAAGGAATCATTGTTCGAGATTCAGGAAGAACGTGATCTGCTGTAATACCACAAAATGGTATTTACATAGTGACCCAAAGTTTTGCGCTTTTTCTTGATATTATGATACAAGTACTCTATGCCCAACCTTTCTATTTTCTATGCCTTATGCCCTATGCTTACCTTTCTATGATATTCTATGCTTATTCTATTTTAGGGATCAACACAGCCTCATAGCTGCCACAGCTTTTGAATGACTCAGAATGACTCAAATTGACTCAGACTGACTCAGATTGATTCAGATTGATCCAGAATTACTCAAGTGCATGAGTCGCACAAAGAAATACCTGATTCATAAGCAAAAGAACCCTAGAATCATGAATGGACCCTTGATTTATAACACTTTGTACCCCAAAACTCATGTTTGCACCCTCGATTGATAGTTTCTGACTCAGTTAGATAGTTCGCTGACTGATCCATAGTTCTATTTTTAGCACACTGAAAAAGTATATAAGGAGCTGTAATCGTAGGTACACCCCAGGAAAATACATTTTAGCTTCATACAGCTATCATTCCTCACCCCAAGTTTTAGACTAGTTACTGTCAAGTCTAGTCCACTGTTCATTTATTTGGCTTGGTTCTGCATATATCAGTTAGTAGTTTCCAGAGTGAAACACTGGTATAGCCAAGTCCAGTTTCAGTCAAGTATCAGAAGTTTGGTTTCATATACATTAGTTAGTAGTTTCCAGAGTGAAACGCTAGTGTAGCGAAGCTTAGTTCATCATCAGTTTACTCAGTTACAAAAGTTCCGTCGGCCAACGTTTTCGAGTTTGGTACTCTCGAATCCTATTATCCAGTCACCAGGAGGTTACCTGCCCACTAATGTTACGTGCTGCAGGAGTCTTCATTAGTTCGCTAAGAACGGACGACATCAGTGGTGGCCAACGTGGGGAGATTTAGTATATTTTGCTAGTTACCCCATCTTGGAACGAACTCAAGTCCATTATCTTTCAGCAAGTTTATGTCCACGTCTACATCAAATTCTGGTTCAGCAACTCCAACAAAGGGAGTTAAACCAGATTCATCATCTACCTTTGAAACCAACACATCACAGCCTTCTACTGAAGAAGCAAAAGCACAAGAATCTCCAAACACACAGAAGCAATCTCCAGCTCAGCCCGATCCTCTGTTTACTGAAACCCGAAAGCCTACTTCCGAGTCTATCAATCAATCTACCCCAACTTCTCCAACAAAATCCGAAGGACCTTCACTTGGTTCCCCATTGTCAGCTCCTCAACCTACTACCGACTTTAGGAAATCAATTCCTTTGAAACAGCATCCACCGAAAATGAGTTCAGGCGATATTAGCGTGACTCCATCCTTTCTGTCACTTCCACCTTTGGGACACAGAGAGGCCCCCGAAAAGTTTAAAGGTCAATCGTACAAAGTCCGATACTTTGTTACACACCTTCTACGTCTATTCACCAAGTACAATGTATATGATTCTGAAGATCGATGTCAAGCAGTGTTGTCTTACTCTTCCCGTAAGGTTAGAGAGTTTGTTGAAGGATGTGAAGCCTTCAGGAAACATGACTGGACAGCATTAATCAAAACCTTATTTGAGATGTACGATGCAACTCGTAAGGACCGCAAGTACAAGTTACGCCACCTTCGCAAGTTTACCGATAAAGCAAAGCATAAGAAGATCAAAGATATCAGTTCATTCCTCAAGTATACAAGGGGTTTTGTTCGTATTGCAGGCCCTGTTCTAGATGCTAAACTCATGACAGAGCAGCAGCAATCAGAATACTTCTTCCACGGAATTCACAAATCCCTTCGTAAGAAACTTAATCGCCGCCTTCGAGAAATGGATCCTAAGCATGATATGGCTATTCCTTGCATGATATGGCTATTCCTTCAACCCGACTGCTACCCTACATATCCCAAAAAGATTCAAGAGTCCAACAGCTAGCATCAGGATTACTGACCTCGGATGATTCATTCGATCATACAGAACAAGATGAACTTAACCCCACATATGATGAAATATTTGACTCTGAAGATGATGATTAGTACTCAGTGAAGCATAGCAACTGAGGACAGTTGCAATCTCTGAGTTCCCCGTGGATGTAATACCACAAAATGGTATTTACATAGTGACCCAAAGTTTTGCGCTTTTTCTTGATATTATGATACAAGTACTCTATGCCCAACCTTTCTATTTTCTATGCCTTATGCCCTATGCTTACCTTTCTATGATATTCTATGCTTATTCTATTTTAGGGATCAACACAGCCTCATAGCTGCCACAGCTTTTGAATGACTCAGAATGACTCAAATTGACTCAGACTGACTCAGATTGATTCAGATTGATCCAGAATTACTCAAGTGCATGAGTCGCACAAAGAAATACCTGATTCATAAGCAAAAGAACCCTAGAATCATGAATGGACCCTTGATTTATAACACTTTGTACCCCAAAACTCATGTTTGCACCCTCGATTGATAGTTTCTGACTCAGTTAGATAGTTCGCTGACTGATCCATAGTTCTATTTTTAGCACACTGAAAAAGTATATAAGGAGCTGTAATCGTAGGTACACCCCAGGAAAATACATTTTAGCTTCATACAGCTATCATTCCTCACCCCAAGTTTTAGACTAGTTACTGTCAAGTCTAGTCCACTGTTCATTTATTTGGCTTGGTTCTGCATATATCAGTTAGTAGTTTCCAGAGTGAAACACTGGTATAGCCAAGTCCAGTTTCAGTCAAGTATCAGAAGTTTGGTTTCATATACATTAGTTAGTAGTTTCCAGAGTGAAACGCTAGTGTAGCGAAGCTTAGTTCATCATCAGTTTACTCAGTTACAAAAGTTCCGTCGGCCAACGTTTTCGAGTTTGGTACTCTCGAATCCTATTATCCAGTCACCAGGAGGTTACCTGCCCACTAATGTTACGTGCTGCAGGAGTCTTCATTAGTTCGCTAAGAACGGACGACACCGCCAAAGCATCTACATCTGCCCACCCGTGCATCGATGAAATCAGGAACCAGTCTTGATCACCGATAGCATCCGCTTGTAGGCAGGAAAGAGGCTACATAGTGCCGTGAATCGAGGGAAAATAGAGAGAAGCAACGGAAACACGATGGGTTATTGAACGATGATAAAACTCGAGCTACACGAAGGACGAGTAGGTGCTACCAGGATTCGAACCTGGGTTTCGGGAAGATTGCGGGTATTGGGCCATCAGAATCCCACTACACTATAGCACCTGATAGCGATTTGCACGAAGATGAAACCATATAATGAACGGACGATGAAACGATGAAGCGATAGAAATCGGGAGGTCGATCCCGAACGATGCAATGTGTCAATTGACGTTCGATCTGTGAACGGAAGGTATACCGCCCTGGGGCGAGAATGTACGCGGGAGGAAGGAACAGCGTGTGATGGGAGTTGTCAACACATTTAGAAACGACCCCGTTCCGCTACAATGTCCTAACCCTGGAACCGGATGGACCTGCGAGGTGAAGTCGGTCTTGAAGTCGGCTTGAGATGAAATATTGGGCCATAGCTAGCTGATCTGGTTGTCAAAAAGGTGGAGTTGAAGAAGAGTGCATTGAAGCCTTGTTGGGAGCTTGTTGACGAAATACAGATTTTTGATTCGAGGGCTAGAGGATGATTGAGAAGATGGACAAAAAGATGACGGTGAAAAACTTACCCTAAGGCTTGGAAACAGTATTTTGGGGAGAATACCAGTGAAGAGCAAAAGAGACGATGGACATTGCGGTTCAAAACAGTGTTGGACTTAACCCCTAAGTCCTAATTAGGATTAAGGGTTAAAAACGATATTAAGTAGAGGGTTAACGATGGATTTGGGATTCCTAGAGGTTAATTAGGTCCTAATATCAAGATATCATGTGACAAGGGAGGGGCACGAGTCCAGATAATCACCATGCAATGAACACTAAAAAATGTGCTCTGAGTTGGGTTGAAAGAAAATGATGAGGGAAACAAGAAAGGAAGGAGCTGAAAAGATCTCACACAGCCGCTTAATCATGGCCATCAAATCCTAGCGCCTCGTGTTCTGGCTTACTCACAAACTACCATGGCTTTCGAACCAGACTTCTACAGTAACTTGAACTTGAAAGACACTTTGCCTTTTCCACACTCAGTATCTTTGCGCTTTCAAGACCCTTAACACAACATTGTTTTTATGGGTGGAATGGTCTTGTGCTAGATAGCTCTGTGTTTGAGGTGTGCAAGTTTTCAGTCTTGTCGTTTCCTTTGATACATTTAGGTAGGAGTCAATTGAATGATCCTACAGCCTCCTACAGCTTGCTCGAGAACATCCACCAAAAAGTAATGCAAGTGTTCACCATTCATCAATGCCCTTTGAATCTGGCTGATAGGGTTAACTAACTTCAAAATCGACAACCAAGCGCTTGCGTCATCAGATGTGCCTACTCCGCCACGTGGACCCGTCATAGGTGCCGCGATCACCTTGCTTGTCAAGGTCTCTCACTGAATGAAATTGCGTGGGAACCAACCTGTATGGAAAATAAGGACAAACATGACGTCATCACATTTTGCAAGCTTTCATCCAACTTTCGTCGCGTTGTCACGTCAGCTGTTCCAATAGTCGACATCTCCTTGGATGTACGAAGACAGTAAAGTGGTGGAGGCAGAGCTACAGAGAATTTTTCGCACGTTCTAATATCTCTATCCTCTAACTTCTCTAACTTGTTTTCGTTTCATAGGACGTTTTTCTACTGTTGTGACCCGCCTTTGTCATTGTATTCAATCTCTTCAACCTAACGTCGTCTCAAGTGACCGGTGAATACTTCACGCGTTTGTCGGAGCCTCGCAAGTGTCTTTTAGAATGCCTACCACCAACCAGAACTTGGTGACAGCCCAATGCAGTACTAGATGTTCTTCCCTCGCAGTGTGATATCCCCTTGTTTTTATCCTAGGTCCCAGACTCTGTGCCTTTCAGGATTCTCAGAGTCTATCGAGGAACAATCTTTGTTGCTAACTAGGTTTCGTAGTTCTATATCCCTCTTTAAATTAAACTAGGCCCTAACAACATTTCATTCCAGGCACTGTCGACGAACCATATCCGGCCCGTTAGCGCGTCCACTGTCAATGTTATCATAACATGCTGATCCACAGTCCTGTCTCACATGACCGACAACCAGCCCACGTACTTGCCTAAGGCCCTTCAAGTCGCTCTCGATGTCATCAAGCCCTTATTCCCACTTGACCATGGGCAGTGACCGTCAAGGGTTGTGCCAACTTACACTTTGATTCCGTTGTTCGCATCAAGTTCATACTTGCTCACATCATCACTGGTGGCAAGAAGGATGGTTTGAAGAATATGCACGTTACAGATGTATGTGAGATTCTGAGGCTTTTCGCTACTGCTCCCCATCTTGCCTCTGGTACACACTGTCATACTTTACATCCTGATGCGTCCTCGTCACCTGCTTAATATCAGTTACGATCACTACCTTCCTTGTCTTGTCCATTTATAATGTTGATTCACATCTGAACTTCGTATTCGCATTGCAGACAAGCAAGGTGTTCACCGCGGCATGCGGCACTTCCCGAGTAACGAGCGTCTATGATACAACGGTACTCCAACGCGCCTTGTTCGTCGGCTGCGAGTTGCCATCTTTAGCGAGGGGTTAGAGGAAGGGACGCAAGGACAGGAAAGTTGCATAGGCTTTGTGGGTATTTCTCTCTACGATATCAGGGCCGGTACTCAACCTCGTGATTCTTACACTTCTACCCCTACGCAGATCAAACAGGCTTCACTTTTCGCCCTTCGTACCTGCTTTGCTATGGTGCTATCACCACTCTACCTCCCTTTGTCACATCAGCACATTTTACGGAATGCAGTCACGCAGGCATGCATCCTCCTTGTGTTTTGTGACTAATGTCCACGAGCAGCGGAAATGCAGGGAATCGTTTGCCTATCGTCATCTGGGATGAGAAGGAGAGAAGCGATGGTGTTGGGTATGAAATGGCTATGGGAAAGGCAAAACCGTACTCTTTGTCATGTTAGGTGATTGCCGCTCTGGATTTCGTGAACTTATCCTCTTCACCTCCACGCCCCGCCGGACGCGTTTCTTCTTTGTAGTCACATCACGGCCTCTTATCCCTCGTCGCAAAAACCGATTCGGCACCATTACCGTCATTTCTGCATCCCAATGCGCTTTCCTTCTCGTTCGACTCAGTAACAAGTATTGCTGTAGCGGCATAGGAACGGTTATGTGAATACTTCAAGTCTCCTTATCTTTACTGCGTACTTTGTATCTGATCTGAATACCCCGAGTCGGGGTGCGATGCTATCGCCGCTCTAAACACCGTACATGTTCCAGGCACATACATCCTCCTCATGGCTTGCGACGTGTATGAAGCGAAGGCATGGTCATTCCCTTATTGTGGTTTGTGGTGTTAGGGAAAATGGCATGGGTATGGGCATATAATTGCATACCGTTCCTGGGTGTGGTTTCTACCATTACCAGTTTTTTACCATTTCCTGTTTCTCCCACCTCGACACTCTTCAGCTTCTCGTCTTTGTTGTCATCAAGATGCAAAACAGGGAGTGGGCTTGGTACAGCCTATCTCAATGCACTTGAAGGTGACGCCCTCACTGCTCTGCTTCTCCATTGCGGAAGCAGGGCAATATTGTCAAGTAGACCTTCGAAGGCCCGACTGATTATTGTTCCCTTCCTTTCTATTAGATGTGAATATCAGTCACCATGCTCTCCGTTGTATGCGTGACTCGCAGTTCTCATGGATCCGGAAGAGAGCAGCATGTTCCTGCAACTAGTAGCTGTGTATCTGGACTACCCTGTTGCGATACATTCATTGGAAGTGACGTTTTCTGGTCGAACCTCAGCACTCAGCTGAAGCAGTTCCGGAGCTGGACACGAGGGGGTTATGGGTATTCTCTCTTTCATATTGTGATTTGGCTTGGTATTCAGTTCTGTTTTAGCTTTCTACCCCTGCACTATAAGTACCGAGGAATCCATGTAGGGTCATTGGAATGACGCATGGATAATCCAATACCTGCCATTGGAATGAATGGCCGGGGCTTCCTTTGCCTGGACTCATTCCAATGAGCTCGTGCAAATTTAAATAAGTAAAATAAAGCGTAGAGAGTTGAACGGAGAACCTAAAGGATAGGCTTAGATAATGCAGTATGATAGTCACGCAAACCACTGAGCCATCAAGTTTATTAATTCTGCTAGGTTTTATCCCCTAACCCCTAACCGCGGGGGCATTCCCCCCCCCGCACCCTCCCCTTAAAAATATGCCTATCCCCTAACCCTTTTTGTGGGGGGTTTCACCCCCCCCGCGCCCCCCTTCTAACACCTAACCCTTAACCTAAGGAGAAGTGCTCCGCTTTGCTTCGCACTTTCCTCAATATGGGGTGGAACTGTGCACAGTCTGATGGTGTAGTAGTTATATTATGGTTTTTCTTATTATTATTAATGATCCTCTCTGTCGCTTGTTCAATCCGGCTTAATTCCATTTTAATAAAGGTACCGATTAATCATTACGAAAAAGGTACGGGAAGCACATTGGAATGAGTCCAGGCAAAGGAAGCCCCGGCCATTCATTCCAATGGCAGTTATTGGATTATCCACAGATCATTCCAATGCCCCTACACGGACTATTGAAGTACCTCCCCTCTATACCCAGGGAATCAGTACATTCGAAGGCGTGCATCATTAACACTCCTCTTGTCTTTCATTATCACTTGCAAGATAGAGATACTGCTCACTGTGCTATTCATTGCACACATAGTGATTGTTGAATTGTTGCGGTTGTTGTGAGTCAGGAGTGTTGGAGTATTTGTTTGTCTATTCCAGCCGCAGTTTGTTATGTATTTCGACTATACTTATATGACAGGGAATCACAATTTCACAGATACTATATCTGATGAGCTACACGATCAAAGCGATCATTACATTCTTCACGGATCAGATCATTTCTTTGATGTGTCCTCGAGATGAGATTCCGAAAGGCTTTGCCGAAGAGAGCGGGAAGTATTCTGAAGTAATTCCGTCGTTGGTGTGATAAATCCGAGAAGCTCCAGGAGTCAGTACGAGGATTAGGTGTCAAATGTTCTCCCAATCTGCTGGAGAACGATTTTCGAACTTGGAGTAAAATGTTATGGTCTTCTCATTGCCTCAACGCGTCAGCCTTGAGGTCTATTGGCTGGAGCTGTGTGTGGCAAGCGCAAAATTTAATATTGTAC